GGGGTCACAAACAAAGGTGAGGAACTAAGTAGGAGCAGATGGATTTTTAATGATCAAATATCTTAAATCCATGCATATGTTCCCGCTAATGGGGGAAGAAAGGGAAAGGCCCAAAGTCTCCACGAAGCGATGTTGTTGTTTTGAAAGTGTTGTCGGCGCGCTCAGTGGGGCGTCTACTGCCCAACAAGAAGACTCTTAAGCGGCTCTGCAGTTACGCTTTCCTTATTGCCTGTCCTCGCATCTGCTCCATCCAGCCTCGGCAAGAAGATTGCACCTTCTGGAAAGTGCTAGTTGGCAGAAAAGCTACAGAAGGAGGACCACAGGCGCCTTTTTATTGTCTCTGCTCGGCTCCTTCCCCTGCCTCCATCAATCTAGGTTCATGGAGGATAGATGGGCCTCTTGGAGAGATTAGCTATGATAGATAAACACTGCCTCTGCTTTTTTCAGACGGATAGGCACTTTCTCTCCCCCTTTTTGGAACAAGTCGTTTGCCAGAGTTTATTATTTAGTTAATTAATTAAATAAATAATTGGTATCCTGCTTTCTTCCGAGCAACAGGACCCAGGGTAGCTCACAACACATTAAAAAACAAGTGCAGATACGAAAATTCTATTAAGAACACAGTTTCAAGCACATTGAAAACACAATTTAAAAAAGGATGAAAGCAGAACACACCCCAGTAAAAGCCTCTTCTGCCAACTGACGCCAGAGCCAAAGGCCTGCCGAAATAAAAGGGCCTTTGCCTGCTAGTGGAAAGGGAGCATAGAGGGGGAGACTTCCACAACCTGGGTCCAGCCATTGAAAATGCTCTCTTCCCCCATCTTGACCACATGTGCCAAGAGATAGCCTTCCCCCAAAGAGCTTAAAACTTCTGAAGGGTCATATAGGGCTTTCCATGTCATAACCAGCATTCCAGATTCTACTTGGAAGTTATATTGCATTGCAAAGCTTTTCCTAAATGCTTGGAGGTGATATCTGCATTAGCAGGTATAATCAGTTGTGTATTACAATTTTTTTTTAAAAGGTGCAAGATCTCCTGAAGGTTTTTTTTTAAAAATGCCCATTTAAAGTTTTTGTGTTTATTTATGATTACATGGCTTCAATTTGGCTATTTGTATATGGTAACCGCCATGATTTTCATAGAATATTCTTGGACCAAAAAATCTCAGGCGTGGTTTTGCCAGTTCAATCTTTTGAAATAAAGTCTGCAGCACGTGGTGTTTTTGCCATCTCCCACCCAAGTAACAACCATGGCTAACTCTACTTAGCTTCCAAATCATAGAATCACAGAATCATAGAGCTGGAAGAGACCTTATGGGCCATCCAGTCCAAACCCATTCTGCCAAAGAGCAGGAAAATCACATTCAAAGCACTAGACAGATGGCCATCCAGCCTCTGGGGTTTGGGAAGGGGGGGGGGGGGGGGGGGGGGGGGGGGGGGGGGTTGTTGTGTTTTTGGGGCTATATGACCATTTCTAGAGGCATTTTCCTGATGTTTCCCTGCATCTATGGCATTCTCAGAGGATGCTTGCCATAGATGCAGGCGAAACGTCAGGAGAAAATGCCTCTAGAACATGGTCGTATAGCCTGAAAAAACCTACAACAACCCAGTGATTCCGGCCATGAAAGCCTTCGACAATACATCCAGCCTCTGTTTAAAAGCCTCCAAAGAAGGAGCCTCCACCACACTCCGGGGCAGAGAGTTCCACTGTTGAACAGCCCTTCTCACCAGTCTGAAAGTTCTTCCTCATGTTCAGATGGAAACTCTTTTCCCATAGTTTGAAGCCATTGTTCCATGTCTTAGTTTCCAGGACAGCAGAAACCAAGCTTGCACTCTCCCCCTATGATTTCTCCTCATATGGCCCTCATAATGTCTCATCTCAGCCTTTTCTTCTGCAGGCTAAACATGCCTAGCTCTTGAAGCCACTCCTCATAGGGCTTGTTCTCCAGACCCTTGATCATTTTAATCGCCCTTCTCTGGAAACATTCCATCTTGTCAACCTCTCCCTTCAAGATCAGATGGGATCAGGTGACTGGTTTCTCTCTGTGTTTGCTTTCATGTCACCGGTTGACTTAGAGTAACCACGAATTTTGAGCGGGTTTCTTAGGCAAAAAAATGCTCAGAGGTTGTTTTGCCATTGCCTTGTTTTAAAATATAGCCAACAGCACCGGTATTTCTGAGAGGTTCGTGCTTCCAAGTATTCGCTGGGCTTACAAGCTTCCAGGATCAAATGGGATCTAATGCCTTCAAGATATTTCAGTTTTTACATATCAAACAGTGTGGCTATCAGGAAACTATTCAACACAACTGCTAGCTTTCATAAGATACTGAAGATGACAGTGATTGAAACGCCAGAGTGCTGTTGGATCAGAGCAAACTCCATTTAGCCCAGCAACCTTTTTCCCAGTGGCCAAGCTGTATATCTGCAGGATGGCCAGAAGCAAGGCATGAAAGCAATATCTTTTTTGGGAGCAATTGGCATTCAGTGCCATACTGCTTCTGAATATGGAGGCTCGGTTGAGCCATCATGGTTCGTAATGATGGATAGGCCTGTTCTTCATTAATTTGTCTCATGCTCTTTGAAGGCATCTAAGCTGCTAGCAGCTGTCATCCTATCTTGTAACAGCAAAGTTCATAATTCATACATTGTACGCCGAAATGGTTTTCCTTGTCTGGTAAAAGTTAACCATATGATGGAGGAACTCTTCAGGCTGAGGAGGAGGAGAGCTTGGATGGCCAGCATTACAGTGTTGTATCAGAATGGTTCACAACACTTGTTTTAAAAGCATTTGTACCGTTAGCAACCTATTTGCAGAATTGCAAGATTTAAGGTATGTGTTCCCCATGCAGAACGATAAAAGTGATTTTTTGATGCTTTTGCTGGCATTTCCCTGAGCAACCCAGTTTCACTTCAAGCTTTCTCGTTCCACCGTTACTACTGAATGCTGCGATTTTGTGACTGGATCACAATGATGGAGACTGCTGTCCATTTGAAAGCATGCTGGATTGAGGGCGCACAGTGCAATTGTATTCATGTCTGCTCAGAAGTAAGCTGGTGGAGCTTTCACACTTGTTAGTGAATATTCAATGCCAATGCTCCAGATTGGATTACTGCAATGCACTCTACGTGGAGCTGCCCTTGAAGACGGCCTGGAAATTGCAACTGGTGCAAAGATCAGTGGCCAGATTACAGAAGCAAGTAACAGGGAGCGATCAACCCCGTTGTTTAAACAGCTCCACTGGCTGCCAATGAGTTTCCGGTCCCAATTCAAGGTGCAGGTGATTACCCACAAGGCCCTAAACGGTTCGGGACCTGCCTATCTTCATGATCACGTCTTCCCCTACAAACCAACATGAGCCTTAAGATCATCCGGGGAGGCCCTCCTCTCGCTGCTGCCTCCGTCTCGGGTGCAGTTGGTGGGGACGAGGGAAAGGGCCTTCTCAGTGGTGGCCCTCTTCCTTGTCCTCATTCTCTTCCTAGGGAGATCAGACTGTTATCTACCCTGTCCTCTTTCCACAAGAACCTAAAAACATGGATGTTCTGTTGTGCCATTGAATTTTGCACTTTCCTTTACTTCTATCTAGGAATTTTACACAAATTCAGAGCCCTCTGAACTCAGCACTTTTATTGCTCCCATGGTACTGTTTTCATGATGTTATGTTTTATTGTGATATGTTTCTATTTGGTTTTGTTTTGTTTATATTTTACTGAATTACTTTTTAACTCTGTGCTCTCTGGGCTTGTCCCTTTGTAAGCCACCCTGAGTCCCTTCAGGGAGATGGAAGCGGGGTATAAAAATAAAGTTATTTTACTGACACAAAACACAGTATGTTACAGCAAATGAGATCTCTATACTGGATTTCGTATCACAAAATCACAAGTTGAACATTTCTCAAGCGTCTAGGACTGTGTGATGTATTTTCGAATGATACGCACAGTTCCAAGTAAGGTGGCCTTCTGCAGTTGACAGATCGTGATTTTGTCAATGTTTATTGTTTCCAAATGCCAGCTGAGATCTTTTGGCATGGCACCCAGTGTGCCGATGACCACTGGGATCACCTGTATAATAATAATAATAATAAATAAATAAATAAATGAACAAATAAATAAATTATAAATAATAAAGTTATTATTATGAATGCTTGGAATCCTGTTGATGCCCAATGCCAGAGGTTATACCTTTTCTGGGACCATACATCATGGGCCAAGGAAGACAGTGTCACGTTGCTAGGGCTCTGCCTTATTTAGGTAGAGATGAATCAAAACTCCCAGTTTTAACAAACAGTTTTATTAAAACAGCACTTACTTGCTGGCTGTTTTAACAGACCAAAATATAAAACACAAAGATAACATTCAGCTACAGAATAAACAAAAACGGATAGCAAAAATAACTTCATAGTCAAAAGGGTCCAGTCCAGTGGTCAAACACCGAGAGTTCAATAACAGAGTCCAGGGATCAAGAGTCTATACCGTAGTCAAAAGCCATCCAAAAGTTCAAGGTTCCAAGATTACAGGAGACAGGTCAGGATACCGAAAATCCAACAGACCTGGGGGGAAAAACCAGCAGCATCCACCACCAAAATGCAACAAATACTTTTCTCCCAAAGATCAGACCCAAGCTTAGCTCCTTAAATCCAGTAACACCCAGCTGCAACCCATCTCCTGCACACCTCCACCCCTATTTGCTTTCACCCATGAACTCCCACTTACAGATCACCAAACCCTCCAGAACTAATACTCACATTAACCCTTCCATCACCAACCACCATCAACTGCAGACCATATGACAGACAGGCCCTCTCCAACACTTCACTTCTTTACAGTTACTACATGTACAGTCTTTCTCTCTCATTCTGTGATGCTGGAGTGGTGCACCAACAGAACTCCAGTCTCTGTATTTAGTGTTTCCTCTACAAAGTGAAGGCGTAAGAGCATGCTTGTTCAGTCTGTATTGTACAGGTTTGCCATGACGTGTGGTGCTTCTCTTCCCCCCTCCCAGGTTTAAAGGCCACACTCCTCATTCAGAAGAACTGCTCGTTGATGAAGCGCTGATGAGAGCAGGCGGCTTGGGCCCCCTGATGAATGGCACTTGTGGGCGCCTGAGGTAACACTTTGGTCTTGCTCTCCCCGATTAAACACTTTTCTGTGTCAGTATATTTTATGATTTGTCTGAAGGGCTTTACAGGATGCTTTAGAAAAGTTTCCTTCTCCTTTGTGGTCTCTGTGAATCACACAAATGGGTTGTGCTGCAGAGCAAACTCTTGGAGTGATTTCATAGATGACCACTCAAAGAAGTCACAGGTAAGTAGCTGCCTTTTCACAACTTGCTCTTTTTTTCTGTAGAGGGGTGTGGTGTGTATCTTCAGTTTGTCAAGCTGAGAAGAAAGAAAATTGGCCTATATACAGTCCTTCTGTACTAGACATATAGTAAAAAAATCAACCCAAAAAACCACAGGGCAATGAGGACTTGAGCTGGAATCCGTTTGTAGCCATTTCCCTTTGGCCAATCTGGCTTCTTCAGTTTGATCTGGTATCCTTAATGGCAAAGGGCTTCCCATCTGAAAAAGGACAACGAGGCAGCCAATCTTGGCTCCTCCTCCCCTATTCGGCATCACAGTTGATTTTTTAAATTTTTCCTTTGTTTTCCTCCTGATCCTTTTAATTTAGTGGGACTGACTGGCAGTTGGAGACTTGAGGAACAGTGGGGTGCGCGTGTGTTTGGGGGCTTTCACCCTTTTATCTTCTTTTTCTCCTTCCTCTCCTTCAGAAAACACTTCTAATAATAATAATAGTCATCTAAACAAACAATAAGAGAAGTCTACCTTTCCTCTAGAGTAGAAAGCAGAAACAGCTATTAGGAAGCAAAACCCCAAGCAGAAGAGAGATTGCAGACACAGTAAAGAAAACAGAGGGGATTTTTAAGGTAGCCCAGGGAGGATAGCTCCACTGAGCTTCAGGTCATTGCTCTTTTTTCCTTGGGCCTCCTTAAAATGCTTTGGCAAGCAGCGTGGCATGCTGTTGATGCTGTTGATGCACCCACCTCTCATTTAGAGTAGAAACAGCTTTAAGACGCATTAAACCCGGTCTTTTCTACAAACAGAAGGAAAGGCTTTAAAAAAGTGGTTATCTTAACTCTGATGCTTTTTAAAATCCAGGCATTAAAAAAGGATATGGAAGTTCCCCCCATAATGGGCTGGATAGGGTGCTTCCTTAACCACGTTGCTGACACCTTTGAAGGGAAGAAAGGAAAGTTTCCCAGGGTAAAGGGGAGCCTCGTAAGTTCGCCATTGCTGCCAGTGGGCCAGATCTAGCCACAGTTATCGGCAGCAAACCAAAAACATCCATTTGGCACCGTGCCCATTTTTCAGAGGTGCACAAAAACTGATACAGGGGACTTCCAGTATCTAGCAAGCAGAAAAGGATAGCGATTCTCCCAAAATGTACAAACTGTACCTTAACTGTTATAAAACAAGGGACCATTTATTTATTTATTTATTTAAAACTTTTATGTCACGATCTTCTCAACCTCCGTAGAGGGACTTGGACCGGCTTCTCAGACCATCCCCTTCTCTGAGTAGAGAGGCAATAGCCAGGAGCTTAGTACATCCCAGAAGAACCTAAAAGAAGCACCAATCCCTTCTGCTCTCCATCGTGGCATTGCTTCTGGATTTGTTCAATGCCTGGGCAGGGAAATGGCAGTGGCAACTCGGGCTGCTTGAACCTCCTTAGGCTGCATTAATTACCTTTAATTACCTATTAATTACCTTATTAATTACCTATTACCTTTTTGGGCAATAACCCTTTATTTTCCCATGGGTCCTATCAAATCCATAATTTTGGCACCAAAACCTACTTTGACTTATACATGAGTGTGTGTGTGTGTGTGTGTGTGTGTGTATGTATCTCCTAAATTGGCAGTATAATCAGTAAAGTCAAGGAAGGAAGTATAAAGGAGGTTTTGCAGTTAAAGTTTCAGAAAGCAAAAATAAGTATGATTTAAGAATCACAGGTTTATAGAGTTGGAAGAGACTGTGTAGGGGTTCTAGTCCAATCCCCTTCTACCATGCAAGAAAAGCACACTCAAAGCACACCTGATAGATGGCCACCCAGCCTCTGCTTAAAAGCCTCCAAAGAAGGACCTTCCAACATAACTTTAAGCATTGAGGTTGTCAAATATTCCCTATACCTTGACTCAATCATTTAAGCTTTGAGGTTGTCAAAGATTCCCTATACCTTGACTCAGTCATTAATCAAAATGGAGATTGGCTCCCTGGTGACACAGCGGATTAAACCACTGAGCTGCTGAACTTGCTGACAGAAAGGTTGGCAGTTTGAATCGGGAACAGGGTGAGGTCCCGCTGTTAGGCTCAGTTTCACCCACCCTAGCAGTTCAAAAACATGCAAATGCGAATAGATCAATAGGTACTGCTTCTGTAGGAAGGTAACGGTGCTCCATGCAGTCATGCTGACCACATGACCTTAGAGGCGTCTACAGACAACGATGGCTCTTTGGCTTAGAAATAGAGATCCAACTCCTGAAGAACTGGCCTGAATGGATGCTGCCTGAGTCCCAGACCAGCTGCCTTGGGTGTGAATCTTGGGAAAAGACAGAGTATAATGAATGAAGTGATTGATTGATGGATCTCCTCGTGTCTTTGAATTTGTTAGGTTGATCCACACTTTCAATTTGTCATGTAAGGTAGGGATCTTTTTCTCCACTTATTAATGTTCCTCAAGGAAATAAGATTTGCCTCCTGCCAGAGTGATGGTCTTCCTTCTGCAGATAAGAATGTGTCGGTTCCTCATATGGATGGTAGTGAACTGACTCAACCCTGTGGGATTTTCTTTGGGTCCGGAACACATTAACTGATAGTTAGAAAACACACGTCTTTGGCTGATACTTTATTCTGTTCGGCAATCTCTCCTCAAACACCTGCATTTCCTTTGATAGCAGGTGGATGAAAAGCTGTCACCGCCCACATAAATCTGGGGTGGGGGGAGCGAAGGTGGGGGAGTTGTGGGGCTGTGCCACGAGCCCGGCTTGTTTGTCCATCTCCCTCACTTTCACCTGGAGTCATTTTTCAGCATTAATGTGCCTCCCTCCGCTTCCCGGTCTCCTTGCCAGCTGGTTGCGAAGTTTGGCAGCAAGACGTCAGAAAGTTTGTTTCCTGGATTCATTCATCAGCTCTGGAAAGGTTACCAGATGAATGCGCCCTAAATAATTTAATCTAATGTAAAGCCAGAGGAGGCTAAGACGACAAGTCCATTTGTCTCCTTTATGCATTTGAATATGGAAGTGATGTTTGCTTCAGTTTCTGAAAAGAGCGCCTGGGTGATTATTAGGGATGGAGGATGGGGCTGAGCAGCTGGACTGCGCCTCCCTTGAAATGCCAGGGACGTCTTTGGCTCCTTTTGGTGGGGAAGGCATCAACAAGAAAGGCGGAAAGGAAGGGCCCTCTCGCTTCCGACTTCACATGAACTTTTTTTTGATTGATAAAATACACCCAGAAACCCCAAGTCATTTTAATTCTCAACTAAATAGATCACTGTTTTTTCAAAAATGGATTTTTCCACTCAGATTGCCAATCCCCCCCTTTTTATATAGGTAAAAAGTATTTAAAATATTAAACTCGTTCAAGCAAGACATTCGAGTTTTGAAGGGAAATAAATGATACAATCAACAGCTGAAAAACATATTTTTTATAATTAACTTCTCATTTTGAGTTAATTATCTACAATTACCAAATCTAATTGCAATTTATTCTCTATTATCTCTGGGAGGAGTTGTGGGCAAAGGACTGTGTGTGCGCTTTTCTGGGATGTGGGAGGAGGGCAGGAGGAGAGAGGTCCCAGGATCTAGAAAGTTCTCAATGGGAAAACAAAGGCAAACCAGTGTGAACGGAGGGGCTCGTTCCTTGAAAGATCATGCTCCAGAATGAACATTGTGCTCAGTGAGGAACCTTGCTACGTCTTGGGAGGGCATGGGTGTAACTTGGATGTTTTCTTTATCTCACCAAAACAGAGTTTGGATTGAGCTTCTGAATGTGCACGGGAATATGTTCCTGGACTTCACATGAATATTTGGAACAATGGATAATAGCAAATACTATTGAAATGAAGGATGTCTGGTCCATAAATACCACAGAGTTTTGCTGTAGGGCCTTGCTTTTAGCTGTGCTATTCTCTTTCTTCAGTGGAACTTTTCCTTGAAATCTGGTGGATGCTCCTTCCTTGGAGGCTTTTCCAAGTATTCACCAGGCTTAATAGCTTCCAGGATCAAATGGGATCTAGTGCAGGCCATGCAGTCATGCCTTCAAGATATTTCAGTTTTTACATATCAAAGGCTGGATGGCCATCTGTCAGGAGTATTTTGAGTGTGCTTTTCCTGCATGGAAGGCAGTTGGACTAGGCGGACCATGTGGTCCCTTCCAACTCTATGATTCTATGGTAAAGATGGTGTTGGATGCGAAACATACACAAGAGTGAAACTGCCCTTAAGACCAGCTCCAATGCAAAAGTTACTTGTAGTATCAAAATACTACTACCTCCTGTTGAGTTGTCTGTTTGGAATCATCACCATTGCCATTGTCATTGTCGTCCACCCTCTGATGCAGATGGCTTGCCACATTTCTAAGTATCCATTCGAAAACATGCAAATCTGAGTAGATCAATAGGTACCGCTCCGGCGGAAGGTAACGGCGCTCCATGCAGTCATGCCAGCTACATGACCTTGGACGTGTCTATGGACAATGCTGGCTCTTCGGCTTAGAAATGGAGATGAGTACCACATCCCAGAGTCAGACATCACTGGACTTAATGTCAGAGGACAACCTTTACCTTTTTTAATCTGTGGGTTGGGTGGTTGTAGGTTTTTTGGGCTGTATGGCCATGTTCTAGAAGCATTCTCTCCTGACATTTTGTCTGCATCTATGGCAGGTATCCTCAGAGATTGTGAGGTCTGTGAGTTATTCAGGATGATCAATACACCCAGCGCTTGCATTTGTGCACACTCCTGACATCTGGAAGAGGTGAAACCTTTCTAGGAATCTACTCTCCCTGTTCTTGTGTTCAGCTTGATTTTGAATATGAATCCCTTACAACAGG